GCCAGCATTTCTAAGTGTTTATCAGAAGAACACTTTCAGGTGCCCAAGCAGGGCCCCAGATTGCTGAAGTTGGAAGTGTGTTTACTTTTCTGTCTTTCCAAGTAGACTGCAAGTTCCCTGGAGACAAGGAAGATATTTTGTTCATAATTATGTTCCCACAATTTCGCACTGTGCTTGGTACATAATAGACATTCATTACATGTTTGTTAAACAAGCAAATGTAACCAGGGAAGGAATAGAGGCCATAGCTGGACCTGGCTTATCTCCTTTTGGAAGGAGTTGAGTGTGCTTTTTGTTTGCATGTGAGATTATTAGTAATCAATGAATCAACCAATTAATGAATGAGAAGGCACATTTAACAAAATTCTCTTTCGGAATGGTCTGTCGTTGATAACTAAACCTTCAGACTTGCCTTTTAGATATCATTGTTTGGCCAGCAAACATGGTGGTTATTTGAGTTTTTACTTCTTCTTGTACTCACTTTTCTTTACACCTGGAAAGTCCCCAGAGAAAGTGAAATTTGGTGATGTTGACCTAGCTATAACACTGAGAGGAAATGGACATCTCCATGTCAGGGTAAAAAAAAAACAAATTTATTTATATAAATATATTCTTTGGATTGGTATTTAGGGCTTATTCTTTAATGGATGGTTATTTGAGTGATTCACTTGAAAATCTACATTGTTTAGAGTAAGTGTCCCATAGTCTGTGGAGTTTGACTTGGTCAACCTCATGATCAAAATAGAATTCTTGATTTTTTTTTCTACACTTGCCTCTATCTTCCCCTTTTCTGGAATTTTATCTAGTAATTCAGATCAAAACCCTAGGAAGCAACCATGAATCCTCTTTTTTTTACCCCATCCTGCAGACCTCATCCCACATCCAACTCATTAGCAGTCCTGTGGACTCTCCTTTCAAAAGCTGTCCAGACTCCAGTGTCTTCTCTGGAGTCCTACCTACCCAAGTTGAAACCCGCATCATTTCTTACCTAGCCTATTGCAGAGCCCCAACTCACCTGCCTGCTTTCGGTCACATTCCCACTGTCAGTTCTCAACACAACAGCCAGAGGGAACTTCTCAAAATATAAATCAGATCATATCAGATATAGAGTCATGGGCCAATTTAGAAGGCAACTGGAAAACAGCCTCCAATGTCATCCCTGGCCATGTTGTAGGAAGCCAGAGGCCATTTCAAAAAAAAAAAAAGAACTGTGATTTTCCATCCCTTACAAATG